GTAAAGAGGACAATAAGGAATTCTTTACTATTATTATACTATAGCTAATGTTGCTTGTTTGTAGCAAAATTTTTATTCATATCTTTCTTATTTTGTAATAATTAATTAGTAATTGAAATTTTCAATAAATAATGAATGATCAATTTTTTTTTTGGAACAAATATTGATCATTTATTAAAATATAATTTATTATCAAATTATTAATAATATTAAAGTGTAACGAGTTGTTAAATTTTCCTCTTTTTTTTGTTTTAAAATAGTTCTATTGAAATGATTTTTTTTTGGAAAAGATTAATTAATAAAATTGAATTTTTTTTACCAAATGAAATATACCTATTATGTTCTCGTGTGAGGATAATCTGATAGGAGCTAAGGCCTATGAATAAATTTACACGACTATCACCAGCAACAAAAATTGCTGAACAGGATGCAGCATTCCGACATAAATTTGTATCGAACGGAAGTAAATGAAATCCATTGAAAAAGATTGTTTTCAAAAAACCCGTTCGACCTTCTCGAAATTTATGCAAATCCTAAAATTTAAATGTAAAGCATTAAAAGTTTTTAGAAATATTGCCGAGAAGATACATTAAAATATCGAACAATTGTATTTTTCCGTATCATTTTCATTTCTTATCAATGAAATGAACAGCCGGCGAAACATTTACGAAATAAGGCATTAGAGAGAAAGACTGAAATATTTGAAAATATTATCTTGCAATCTTAAATTACCCCAGCACTTGATCCATAAATTGGTGAACCATCAATAAAATTTGTATTTTCATTAAGTTGTTGTCGTGGTTTTTGTTTTCCGGAACCACATATGGCACTGGAACGTGAGACTCGAATGCATTTATTAGATTTGAAACTAAAATTAAAAATTTTTAAAAAAATTGTAAAAATTAGCAGCAAGTATTGTTATCATTGCATTGAGTGAAATTTAAAATGGAATTATTGTGAAATATAAAAAATTAGTAAAGAAAAAAAAAAGACGTGCTTTTTATTGGGATCTCTTTGGAAGATAGGAACAGCCATGCATCGTCCCGGGATATTCCGGCAAACATTACACTTGGCTGATGGTACAAGTGTTGTCTTTGCCATTTCATGAATGAGATATTGTCCCCATTGCATCAATAAAGCATTGTATTCTCGATGTAGTACCGTTTTTCGGGATGAAAGGATTGATCGGCTAACTTCACGTGCATTCGGTCTAATTGGAAGCATAGAACCGGAAAAAATTCAATTATTAATTTTTATCTTTTGTCTAATTTTCCTAATAATGAGTTAATTTTCCAATAAGAACACTTAAGAAAAGATGCAAATTTAGAAAAACAAAAAAAAAAACATTAAAGACTAACCAACTGGCTCTGAAAGTTTATTGTCATATTCTGGTAGTAGCAATCTAAAAATTTAATATATTAGTTTAAATTTTTTGCAAAATTAGGAAAAATTGATGAAAACATAAAATCGTTCTTTTTAAAACTTTTTTATCGCAATTATCAATAAGTACAAATTATCATTTTTGAAAAGAAATTAAAAATTATAAATTTGATATTTTAATTTCATTCAAAATTATACAACATTTTATTTTTACTATGTTCATAGCAATATTTTAAATATATTAAAATTTATTAATATAACAACCTATTGTAAGGTCGAAAAGCAGCTCCATGTAAAGGTCGTAATAGATTGTTGCACGTACCATCCATGGTACGATAATAGAGATTATAGCAAAGTGATCGTTGACATTCCGCTTCATCTAAGCGTGGTACACAACCAAAAGCGATATTCGATCGTACCACTTCTTCTTGTGTTAATGGTCGTCGACCTGATAAATCTGAAATATTTCTATGTTAGATAAATTTTTACCGTTTTTTTTTGACTTCACATAAAAAATTGTCAAACAATGAATTAAATGTATTTACACAAAATTAATTACATCAACTTTTTAACTTTTGGAAAAATTTTATCGAATATAATTTAATCGGAAAATTTATAATAAATTGCAGAAGTTCTCATTCATTTGGATAAAGAGTTTTTTAAAATAAGACAAAAAACTAGTCTTTTTTTTTTGAAATAATCAAAATTTTATGCTCATTTTTAAATGCAAACTAAAGTAACTAATTAAATAAAAAAAGAAGGTTTTATCGATTGGTTTATGGATCATTAATAAAAATTTATGAAAATTTAACAAATATGAGAAATTCATTTTATTATATTCGATGTTGATATTGTATATCAAATAAGCTATTCATTTGTTCTTTGTATATGTGAGATGAATTGATATAGCTCATTTTGAAAATATATATTGCATAGATGTCAAATAAGTTACTAATTCAGGTTGTTTGAACTTGCAAGATTAAAGCTAACCTTCAATTGAGAAAATGAGTCGTTCACGGAGTAAAATCTCGGCAGCATTGGAAGGATTAGCTTGAATTTGTTTGCATCGTTCAAGAGATGTTAATCGTCGAGTTGTTGTAGTTCGTTGTGTTGTATGCAAATTAACAACTGAATGATTATTTGGCCGATGTTGACGATTTTTTGATATTCTAAAAGCTATTTTCGTATCTTTAATTAACCATTAATTAAGTCGCTAATTTGATTTCAAAAATTATCTCTGATACTTGTGACCGTTATTGTATTGTTGGAAATGCAATTAAAGTATCGTTTCATTTTGCAGGCTATTTTCATTGTTTGCTTAAGTAATCAAAATTTAAACAAAAGTTTGCCTTCTATGTTTATTTTTGCGAAGACGCTTTTTTTTAGTCTTTTTACTTGATCCATGGGGATGACGAGTTGCACCGGTTGATAATCGACGATGGTGATCACGAAGCGGTCGTCGAGAAACTCCTGAAAGAGAAACCAGGTGCTTTTCTTCAATGTTCAATTATTTAAATTAGCCTCAAAATTGCAAATAAACTGACAAGAGAAAAACTTCCTGGCAACGGCAATATTTTCAAATGTATTATTAATTTTTAAAACTTTTTTTGAATATTATATTTTATGCAGAGGAACACAAATACATTTAAAAATATTTAGTCTGCTAATGAATAATTATGCATGTTTTCATATAATATGAATTGGAAATGAATATTCAGATACTGATTGATGTTGAAAAAAAGTGGATTGAATTAGAAAAAAAATTATTAATCAAGAATTATTTTGCAAAAATATTATTGTAATATTATTTGTAAATTCATTCCAACAACTGTAAGATGTGAATTATTATGAAATAAGTTTGTGCAAGTCAAGATCAGGTCCCATTTTAATTTTGTAAATTTTGCAGGTTGCTTTATAATGCAATATATAACATTTCAAAAATATATCACTCTCATTTAATTTCTTTTGTCATTACATGTTTCAGGTGATGAAACTGTCAAAAAAAAAAATCTTTTTCAAAAAAAAAAAAATTATTTCGAAATTAGTTTTCCCTTCAAAAAGAAATCGAAATGGTTCAATTTTTAAAAATTTAACATTCGATGCAAATTTTAAAAGCATTAAAATGAAGTATTAGGAGAACAAAGAAAAAATCCATCAAATATTTTCACTCATTTATTATTAATGTGTAAATAAAGCTTGTTTATTTGTAAGTAAACAAGTTTTTTTTTTCAACGGTGACATTTATTAACTCCCTAATTTTCACTTATTTTTCTATTCATTTTAATAATAATATACTAATGTATTGAGCAATGTCACATTGCAAAAAGTCTTATAACAAATAATTTCTTAAAAATTTAAGTTGTTTTGAAAAAAAAATGAATGATAATACTTTAAATCAAATTGCATTTAATGCTGTAATAATTTTGACATTATAAAACACTTTTCAAACGGGTACCATCAAATTTCTCTCAGAAAAATTTTACAAAGTTTTTTTTTAAAAAAAAAAGAAAAAAAAATTCCACAGAACTTTTTTTTTTGGAGAGGGTTCTATGCATGGAATCCTTCAGAACGATACGATAAAATTCCATTCAGAGCAGTTTACATTCAAAGAATTATTTTATTTAATTGAGGAACCGAATGAATGAGATTAAATGTAAAATGTGGATGACAAAATTAAATGAATTTCCGAAAAGTATTGTAATTCCTTTTTATAAATGCTGCAACATTTGCAGTTTTGGATAATAAATGTTTGAATGACATTTAGGTACTTCTGAATGTTATATGCAATATATTAGATGTATATGTACCTAAATTAAAATACAATCACTCTCATAGCTAATTGTAAAGACGAGAGAGAAAGAGACGATTGCATCAAAAATTAAAGGGAATTAAAGGTTTAAAATGAAAAAAAAATTTGTCATAAT